ATGTCTGTATCACAGGTACATTAGAAATTGAGAACTGTGTTCTGGAGCTGTAAAGTTTCTGAAATATCAGGGAAATGGTAAATACCTAAGCTGTTAATAACCTGCCTTTTGATTTCCAGTTCAGTTAGAAAAAGCCATAGAGGAAATTGTGGATTTGGAAGGGAACTGACTTTATTTATTTTTTTGCCACTTCTGGCTTCTCCAAAGTTAAATATTTTAGAATTGAATCCTTCTTCTAAAGCCATCTGAGGCCTTTTTTTGTGATCTGCTCTGTCTTTTTTTATGTTGAGTGCTTGTTTTGAGTTGAGCATTGTGTGCTACCACCCACCCCCAAATTCATGTGTCGAAGCCCTTACCAATTGTTAGTATTCGGAGGCCTTTGGAAGAGAGCTAGGGTTAGATTAAGTTAGGGGATGGGGCTGTGGTATGATGGAATTAGTGCCCCTATAAAAGAGGTACTATAGATCATGTGAGCACACGATGAGAAGGCCCACAAGCTGAGAGAAGAGGCACAGGCGAAGCCTGTGTACCAGGGACCTTGATCTTGGATGTCTCAGTTTCCGAAACTAGGAGAAATAAGTTTCTATTATTTAAGCCACTCAGACCATGGTATTTTGTCATGGTAGCATAACACACCATAAGCCTCAGAATACAGGTTCTGAATAGTATCCAAACCATTTAAAACTTAAAATTCTAATATTTGACCATTACATATGAATTAAGGTTTGACTTTCTTTTAAATGTAAAATTGGTACTGTGTCCACATTTAAATAAATTGCTCCTTATTTAACTTTGTATTATGACATGTTTTGAATATCCACAAGTAGTAATATAGTATAATGGCCTCACATTTACCCATTGTCCAGTTTTGACAAATAACCATCCATAATCGGTCATTTCTTAAATTAGAATCTCCCGCCAGGTACTCCTGTAATCCCAGCACTTTGGAGGCTGAGGTATGAGAACTGTTGTAAACTCAAAGCCAGCCTGGACTGCCTACCAAAACCAAACCAAGATGAGCTATCTCAAAATAAATTTCTAAGTATTTTCCATTTATATATAGTCAATTATGACAGATGTGAATTTATGATTAGTGTCTCACGTGAGGTCTAGGCAGATGGCTCAGTTGGTAAAGTATCATACAAACATGAGGACCTGTGTTCAGATCTCTAGCATCCACTTAAAGCTGGGCACACATGTCTGTAATCCCAGTGCTGGGGAGATAGGCAGACACCTCGAGCTCACTTCCCAGCCAGTTTACCAATCAGTGAGCTCCAGGTTCCGTGAGAGATGCTGCCTCAAAAAGTAAGGTGGAGAGCGATTGAAGAAGACATCCAATATTGACTTCTGGCCTCATGCACATATGTATGCACTGACATAAAAAATGTACATACACAAGTATCTGAAGTGATGTGAACCTTAAGAATTTTTTTTTGGGGGTAAGAGTTAGTATGGTTTTAATAAGATGGATATGATGGCTCTCATCTGTAATCCCATCACTTGGGAGGATGGGGCAGAAAGATTTTCACAGGTTTGAGGACTTCTTGGGGTATATAATAAAATCCAGGCTAGTCTGGACTATGAAGCTAAGATCCTCTGTCATTACCAAAAACAAACAAAACAAAAACCCCAAAGTTTTTCTCGTGAAGTAAGCATTTCAAAAGAAAATAAAAACTCTGTCCCATATAAATAAGTCTGTTTTAATTAGAAAACAAAACTTTTGGAATCAGTTTGGTATGTTGACAGAAATAGAATTCTTATTTTGGAGTAATTCCCATGGATCTGTCTGAATCCTTAGATTACATGACTGGGAACAGGGCATGTTGGTGCCCACCTGTAATCCCAGCACTCAAGAGGCACAGGAAGGAGGATCATAGCAAATTTGAGGCCCAACCTGGTCTACATAGTTCTAGGACAGCCAGTTACATAGAAAAACTGCCCCCTTCTCTTTCTCCCACTTCCCCTCTCGCCCCCATGCACACATGTATACATTGACTCTCACACACATACAGAGAGAGAGAGAGAGAGAGAGAGAGAGAGAGAGAGAGAGAGAGAGAGAGGAGAGAGAGCGCGCACAACTAGGATGAATGAATTTGACTGAGTTCACTGAGTTTACATTGATTGAAACAGACTTGAAGTTCTTGGGTTACCTGTAGAACCTGTAAGCAGGCACTGAGCCATTTTAATAGATGCAGTGCTAGTCTTTGAAGAAACCTGGCTATGGTCTGGTTTTTACTCATGCCAGAAGCAGTGAGTGTGTGAAAGGGATGAGTAAGCCTCAGGGAAGTCACTGCAGTACTCAAATCTTGATTCTACAGTACTTTGAGGGGGTGGCGCCTTCATTTTTGTCAAGATTATAGCACAAGCATTCTGATGAGCCAGATGCCTGACATAAATGTTTATTGTATTATTTTATAAAATTTGAGTAGTCTTTTTCCAAAACATGAACTAATTTTGCTTTGTAGGACTTAATTCACAATGCTTTCTTGGGGCTGGAGAGATGGCTTAGTGATTAAGAGCACTGCCTGTTCTTCCAGAGGACCCATGTTTGATTACCAGCATCCACCAGGTGCTAACAACTGTCTGTAACTCCAGTTCCACAGGATCTGACACCCTTTTCTGACCTCCAAGGGCATTGCAGGACACAGGTGCATTTACATACATGCAAGCAGTATACTCACATAAAACAAAAATAATAAATAAAATATTTTTAAAAAATTCCTTGAATGCTCTTGTGTATAATACGGATGTCCTATTTTAATTTTTTTGTCAGTAAATGTATTCTGATATAAATGTTAAGTGAATGTTAAACAGATGCATGAGCTCTTAATCTTATAGAATTTGACCAAATAGTTCATAAACAAGTTTTTCCTCTTTATGAAAAAAATGCACACATACTTAGGAATAAATCAGTATTGACTTCTGCACACTCCAGGGTCCTGTGGGCAGACCTGACAATAAGTAAAATTCCACCAAAGCTGAACTCAGAATAGAACTTTTTCTGTAGGAGAAACCTCAAAATATAACTGGATTCTGAGCTAGATGTTTACAATCCCAGCATGTAGGAAGCTGAGGCAGAAGAATCATGAGTTTGAGACTAGCAATCTGATCATGTCTCAAAGACAACAGTACTTGAATTCTGCAAGCAATATAAATTGACCTATGTATGTTTTAAATTTAAAGTCAAACTGTTCTTAAGTGCCTAATACAGTGCAAACTGAAGAGTAAGTGCTTAGTGCTATTAACGAATACAGTAAGATTTCGTTATCACTTGACTGATATTCCTAGAAACTTCCAGAGTTTATACAACCAGGTTCTTTTTTTATGTAAGTGCACACATGTCATGTAGTACCCATGGAGGTTAGAAGAAGGCGTCGGAGCCCCTGGAACTGGAGTTATGGGTGGTTGTTATCCACCATGTGGGTGCTGGAAATCAATCCAAAGTCCTCTGCAAGAGCAGTCAGTCTCTTAACCACTGAGCCATCTCTCCAGCACAACCAGGTTCTTTCTGTTTCTTGTTTGGGGATTTTGGGGGGAGGGGGAGCAGGAACTTGCTCTAAAGACCAGACTGGCCTCTAACTGCACTCTTCCTGCCTCTGCCCCTCCCCCGTGCTGGCATTACAGGTGTGTGCACAGCTTGATGCTCCAGGTCCTGTGAAGTAGTTGCAGGCACTAGCAGATTCTTAGATGGGGTTTGAAAGATGCTCAGTCTTCAAGATAAGTAAGATAGAGTAGCATAATTCTGCCCTGTTACTTCTCTGAATAAGACTTGATTATTTTATGTCTTTTTACATTTTTCTCATAGTTTTTGAAATGTAAAGGCCTATTTGAGGGCTGGAGGAGATGTAGCTCAGTTGATAGAGTGCTTGTCCAGCATGTACAGAGTCCCAGATTTTATACCACTGCACAAATTGTGTGTGGTGGTACATGCACTTAGGAGGTAGAGAGAAGGTTGGGTGGTTTTATTGTTGGGTTTGGTTTTTTGGTTGTTGTTTCATTTTTGTTTTTTGAGGTAGGGTCTCATTTTGTAGTACTGGCTGGTCTGGAACTCATTATATAGACCAAACTGAGTTCAAACTCACAGAGATCCACCTGCCTCTGCCTTTGCCTCCTGAGTGCTGGGATTAAAGGTCTGTGCTACCATGCCTGACTAGTCCCAAGCAGTTTTGTTTTTTTGCATGTGATATTATAACAATAGAATATACTGTGCTGAAATTTAACAAAAAATATTTTGGCAGTGTTGGGGAGGTGGCTTAGTCAATATAGTGCTTTCCATGCTACCACGAGGATCTGAGTTCAGAACCTCAGCACCCAAGTAAAGGACCAGGTACAGGAGCCCATGCTTCTAATTCCAGTGTTTGGGAGACAGACAGGAGGATCCCTGAAGCTTACTGACCAGCAAGCCCAGCCAAATTGGTTAACCAGGTTCTGTGAGAGACCCTGTCTCAAAATGTAAGTCACTGAGGAAGACACCCAGTGTCACCTCTGGATTCCACACAGATGTGCACATGATCATATATACCGGTAAATGTTCAAACGTACTTAAATGTGGTTAGAGAAGAACCTGCATGAACTAATCATTCATGCTTAGAATGTTGTCAGCATTTCCTTGTACTATCTTACTTCTTTAAATTCTTTTCTTTTCCTCCTTGTGACTTAAAGGAAATGCTGCATCATGTTGTTTTACTTCTCATTCTTTTTTTTTTTTTTTGAGTCAGATTCTCTCTGTAGTCCCAGCTGGCCAGAAATTCACTATGTAGACCAGGCTGGCCACCTGCCTCTGCCTCCCAGGTACTGGGATTACTTCTCATTTTTGACTCTATTCATCAATAAGGCACATGGTTTTCTTCAATAAGTGTAATTTATGATGACAACTATGAAATTAACTATTCATATCATCCCATACCTAATTTCTCTGGAAAACTAAAGTTTATTTAAATTCAATTAAGTATAGGCATCTTGTAATGCTCTGCTTTGAAACAACTATCTTTCTTTTTCAGATTAGTGATGATGAACCAGGCTATGACCTAAGTTTATTTTGTATACCTAATCATTATGCTGAGGATTTGGAGAGGGTATTTATTCCTCATGGACTAATTATGGACAGGTTAGTAAGTTCTCAATTGAAGTGTTTTGTGTGTGTGTGTGTGTGTGTGTGTGTGTGTGTGTGTCTGTCTGTCTGTCTGTATGTATGTATGTATGTATGTGTCTGTGTTGTATGTATATGTGTGCACCTGCACGCCCATGAAGGCTGAAGAAGGACATTGGATGTCCTACTCTGTTCTCTACTTTATTCCCTTGAGACAGGGTCTCTCACTGAACCAGTGGTGCTAATTTGGTGAGACTGGCTGGCCAGCAAGCCTCAGGGATTCACTTGTCTCTGCCCCCAGTGCTGAGGTTACAGGTGGGTGCAGTCACACCTGATTTTTATGTGGGCCCTGGGATATGAATTTAGGTTCTCATGGATGCCTGACAGGTGCTCTTCTCCACTGAGCTGTCTCCCCAGCCCAAATTGAAGAATTTTTATTATCTTCTTTAATTTTAATCTAGCAACTGTTGAGTAGTTGGTATTTGAATATAAGCTACGCTAACTTGTTAATGAATAAATGTTTTTTATTTTTAAAGTCCTTTTTACAAAAAGAAAAAAAGAGTACCTTCCTAATTACCCAGTTTAGACATGGTATAATGGGAATATGTAGGGAGTAGAAATAAACATTGAATGGAGGTTGAAAGATGACCTGTAGTCAGTGTGCTTTATTTCTTAGTTATGAACAGGATAAAGGGATGAAGCAGTCACATGACAGCAAGGTCAGATTTTCATCATCATGTACATGCATCTAGCTTGAAAATTTCTCCTCAAATGATTTATAGTGAAACACATTTTAATATATAAAATTACAATATCAAACATTTATGTTACAAAACATTCTATCTATGGATTACAATCCCCTTCTCTCAGCCTTCTATACATAGTGCATACCTAGAGTACCTGTGCACATATACTATATGCAAAGTGTGAGGAATGTACTACCATATAATAAAATTTTGTGGACTTTTTAGTATTAGTACATCTAGAGCTATCATGTATATGTTTTTACCTTTAAAAAATATTCTATAAATGAGGTGTGGTAGTGCATACGTGTAATCCTAGCCCTTGGAGGATCAGGAGTACAAGGTCATCCTCAGCTATGTATCAAGTTTGAGGCCAACCTGGAGTACGTGAAGCCCTGCCTCAAAAAACATAGATGCGTATGCGCACATGCTTACAGTATCTTTGGTGCAGGGTCTTACTATGTAGCTCAGGCTGATTTGGAACTTTATAGCTCCCAGACTGGTACTAAGGTTACAGGTATGTACCACCGTGCCCAGCCCACATATATTTTGTTTGCTTGTTTTCTTTTTGAGACAGGATCTTACGTAGTTCAAGCTGACCTCAAATTTACTGTGTAGCTGAGGATGACGTTGAACTTCTGATCCTTCTGCTTCCACCTCCCCATATGCCACTCTGCCCAGTTTACACAAAGCTGAGCATAGACCCCAGGCTTTGTGCATGTTAGACACAGACACTACCAACTGAACTACACCCCCCGCCACACACACCCATATATTTTAAAGATTATATAGTATTGTATGTGTGGATGTACCGTAACTGATTTAAACACTCCACTGTTGATGGACACTTAAGATCTCCTCATCATTTTGTACTTGTGTTTTTTAGAGGGAATATCTTACACATATGCATTTTGGTACTTACAATCAGCTTGAGACAAATAGAAATTCTGGGTTAAGGGAAAGATGTTTCCTAAACATTTTTGGTACAGTCAAATTATCCTCAAAACAATTGTATCATTTTACACTTTCAGTTGTATGTGATGGTTCCCTTTTCCTTATTATCTTTTCCAATATTGTATATTATAGAAATATTAATCAGAATTTGCCAATCTGGTAAGTTTTAAAAATTATATCTTATTTTTAAAAGTTTTAAATAAAACTTTTTATAAAATAAAACTAAATAAATATTATTTTTATTTTATGTGTATGTGTGTATTGCCTGCATGTAGGTAAGTGCACCCGTGTCGTGCAATGCCCACGGAGGTCAGAAGAGGCTGTTGGATCCCCTGGAACTGGAGTTACTGACAGTTGTTAGCTGCCATGTGGGTGCTGGGATTCGAACCCGGGTCTTTTGCAAGAACAGCCAGTGTTCTTAACCGCTGAGCCATCTCTCAAGCCCTCTTACTTAGATTTTTAAAATTTGTGGTACACATTATAGTATTCCTTGCTTTTGTTTTGTTTGTTGGGTTTTTAATTTTTGAGACAGGGTCTTTCTATATAGCCTTAGTAGGTAGCCTAGTACTTGCTATGTAGTCCAGGCTGGACTTGAACTCATAGCAATTCTCCTGCCTCAGCCTCCAAAGTGCAGGAATTATAGTCATGTGCCACTATGCTCAGCATGTACCTGGTTTTTAAAGATAATCAAAATTTAGTTTTGCTTGAGCTGGGTGTGGTGGTGTATACCTATAATCTCAGCATATGGAGGTGGGCTACATAAAGGGATCCTGTCATTATATCTCCCTCCCAAAGTCTTAACGTTGATATACAAAAAATAAATAATGTAACATCTTCTACTTAATATTTTTCTTTTTGAAGCAAGGATATCCTTCATGGGACAAGGATGCATTCTGTGGAAGTTTAATGCTTAAGAGGTGTTTGCTATATAAAGCATAAACGTATGGAATCTTCATTTTCTGATTTTATTTCTGTAGGACTGAAAGACTTGCTCGAGATGTCATGAAAGAGATGGGAGGCCATCACATTGTAGCCCTCTGTGTGCTCAAGGGGGGCTATAAATTCTTTGCTGACCTGCTGGATTACATTAAAGCACTGAATAGAAATAGTGATAGATCCATTCCTATGACTGTAGATTTTATCAGACTGAAGAGCTACTGTGTAAGTATAATTATGTATAATTTTTAAAGTATGGCAGTTCTGGTTTTGTCTGTATTTTCTTTTAAGTTCTGCAAACTAAATAGTCATTTCACTTTGTTACAGTGGGATTATTATTATTATTTGTTTTGCTGTATTGAGGATGGAATCCAGGGCCTAGTTGGTACTCTGACATTGAGCCATACCCTAACCCTTTTAAAAAAATCTGACTTGGAGACTTTGTCTCACTAGATTGCCCAGGCTAGCCTTGAACTCATTACATAGACTGAACTCATTGCATAGACATTTCAATCCTGTTGCCTCAGCTTTTCTTGTAGCTGGGATTAAACTTAGATGCCACCATTTCTAGCTATTATCATTGTTCATGTTATTCTTATTTGGTATCTTACTCCACGGCTCAAGCAGTCCATCTACCTTAGTCTCCTAAGTGCTGGGAATGCAAACACGCATCACCATGCCTAGTTGTGTTTTGGTATTTTTTTCAAAAAACTGTTTTAAGAATTACTATTAAAGGGCTAGAGAAGATGACTCAGTGGTTAAGATCACTGGCTGCTCTTGCAGAGGACCCAGGTTCATTTACCAGCATCCACATGGCGGCTAACAACTCTCTGTAATGCTGGTTTCAGAGGATCCTATGCCTTCTGGCCTCTGTGGGTACTGCACAACATGGTACACTTACATACATGCAAGCAAAGCATTCATACACATAAAATAAATAAAAAATTTGATGAATTGCTATTGAGACTTAGGGGTGTTTTCTGACTATATGTGGTGGTGGAATATAACCTCTTTGGAGCTAGATTGTTTTGAAATGAATCATAAATTATTTGGAGGAAAGTGTGATTAATGAGGTTAACTATTATTTCCCAGAAAGCAGAGTCCACTTTTGACTCAGGACTGCATTACCTGTGCTATAGAGTCCGACATGTTTAGAATATTGACGTTATGAGGAAACAAAATGTGATCTTTACATGTAAATGTAATCATTCACAATTTCTTTGTGTGAATGTTTGATTTTTACTACTTCTATTATTTCATTTCTGATTTCATGATAGGATTTTATGTCCTATAACTTACTGTTTTTCTTTGAAATAGAGATTTCTGCTCGGCTTGGTGGCACATGCCTTTAATCCCAGCACTTGGGAGGCAGAGGCAGTGGAACTCTGAGATCCAGGCCAGCCTGGTTTACATAGTGAGCAAACTGTGGCTTCAGGGAGACCCTTTCTCAAAAGAAGATAAAAAAGAAATAGAGATTTCTCCTAGCTTCTTAAGAAGTGAGAGTAAATGTCCAGTCCTTGCTGTTTTGTGAATCAGCGTTAATAGTTCCTCTTTATAGAAACTCGCCTCCTCCTTTTTGTGATACTAACAATTGAATATGGAGCCTTCGGCATGCTAGGCATGCAATGCACTGCTGACCTGTATCCCTGGTGCTCTTTTTACTTTTTATTTTGAGAACAGTTCTTGTTGATTTGCTCAGGCGAGCTTTGAATTCGGTCTGTATATAACCCAGGCTAATCTTGAACTTGGAATTCTCTTACTTTAGTCTTGTATGAAGCTGGCATTACAGGTCTGTGGCAACAGGCCTGAAGAAACTTAACCTTTTCATTCATTTTAATTAAGAATTCTTTCCTATATTTAAGTTTCAACTTTTATTCTTTCCATTAATCATCTGTTTGAATGACTCAAATCTTCTACCTTTTCCAGTCTTTTTAATTTTTTTTCTTTTGGTCTTTTTTGAGACAGGGTCTCCCTGTAGCCCCAACTGGCCTGGAACTCACTATGTAGACCAGGCTGGCCTTGAACCACAGAGATCCGCCAGCCTCTGCCTTCCAAGTGCAGGGTCTCCTTATAGCCACAGCTGGCCTAGAACTCACTATGTAGACCAGGCTGGCCTTGAACTCACAGAGATCCGCCTGCCTCTGCCTTCCAAGTGCTGGGATTTCCAGTCTTTTTAAAGAAAATTATTTTTTATTATTTATTTTATGAGTGTTTTTCTTGCATGTGAATAAATGTACCCATGTCATGCAATGCCCATGGAGGCCAGAAGAGGGCATTAGATCATCTGGAACTGGAGTTACAGACAGCTGTTAGTCACCATATGGGTGCTGGGATTCAAACCCAGGGCTTCTGGAAGAGCAGCCTGTGCTCTTAACTGCTGAGCCATATCTCTAGCCTCTCCAGTTTTTTAACATTATGATCCCCCCCCACCCCAGCAACAGTTTTTCTTGAGTCCTTAAGGGCTCAGCTCCTTATATGGGCTTTGGTGGAGGTTGTGAGGCAGCAGTTGCAGATCTAATTTGGGATGGGGTCTTTTGTCATTGTAGGCTTCACAAGATTAGTTCCTGACCACCTTCCTGTGTATTGCATAACTTACACAGTAATTTAGCTTCATAGCTTCATACACAGCTTGAGTAGCACAGAGGTATTGAAGACCTTTGCTTAGAAAATGGCCCAATGGCTGTAGCCTCTGTGGTTTGAATACTTAGTGACTTTGGGGATATTTGGGTGGCAGTGTCTTTGTTTAAAGATCTGTTTTTTATTATTATTGTGTGCATGTGTGCATGATATGTGTATGTGGGCCTACATGCCATGACGTGTGTGGAGATCAAAGGACAACTCTGAAGTTTATTCTCTCCTTCTACCTTTATGTGTGGGTTCTGGGGATCCAATTTAGGTCTCCAGGTTCATGTAGCAAGTGCCTTTACCTGCTGAGCCATCTCACTGGCCCTGTTTATTTTAGAGACAGATCTCACTGTGCAGCCCAGGCTGGCCTTAAACATACAGCAATTCTCTTAACTCAGCCTTCCACATGCTGGGATTCCACAATACTCAGCATGAGGCCTTGTTCTTGGACATAAATCATGCATTGAACGTAATTTGTACAGCCAGTAAAGCTGTATTAAATGTTAATGTTAAATGTTATCACAGACATTTTTCCCTATCCCATTAAAGCTATTAATTAATGTTATCACAGACATTTTCCCTATCCCATTAAAGCCTTTATACCCATGCACTATGACATTTACTTCCTTCTTGAAAGTTCCTTTTGACTTTCCACAGCCTTGCTTGAATGAAAGACACGTTTAAATTAAAATTTAGATTCTTATTTGGTAGATGTTCATAAAGGATTGGCTAGTTTGCACTAGGACTTAAGTTTATCCATATATTTTCAGGCAGTATAGCTGACCAGTCTAATAAAGCTTCTTCATGTAGTCAAAATATGTACTTATACCCCACGATAGGATTTATCTTTCCAATCTTGTGGAGTTTCCCTTACCACAGAATAAATCATTACTCTGACTCATTTTGTGTGATTTGTGCAAAATAGTCTTTCTTTGGAAAACAAAAAAAAATGGTGGAGGGATGTTCTTAACTATATAGTTATAAAACCAAATGAAGTAATAGAAACATTGGCATTTTAATTCTCTTTTCTGCTGTGCATCTCTTTCTTGTTAGTTTTAGATCATAGAGAATTACCAGGCTGTACTAATCAACTGATGAAAAAGCATGAAATCCTAAATGTGAGCAAACCATATTTTGCGTTAATTTCTTGAGGTTTTATGTGAAATTATGTAGAGATCTACTGTTAAACTAGAAATTTAAGAAAATGATCCTGCTAGGTATGGTGGCACATGACTTTAAGAAAATGATCCTGCTAGGTATGGTGGCACATGACTTTAATTCTAGAACTGGGGAGGCAGAGGCAGGTGAGTTTGAGGCCAGCCTGGTCTACATAGTGAGTTGCAGGCCAACCAAGGCTACATAGTGAGACCCTGTCTCAAAAAAAAAGGAGAGAAATAGAAAGGGGGGCTGTAGAGATGGCTCAGCGGTGAAGACCACTGACTCCACTTGCAGAGGACCCTGCCTGGATCGATTACCAGCACCCACATGGCAGCTAACAGCCATCTGTAACTCCAGTTCCAGTAGATCCAACGCCCTCTTTGATCTCTGCAGGCATTTCATGACACAGGTGAACTCACACAAATGCAGGCAACACATTCATATACATAAAATAAAAAACAATAAAGAAAAAAGAAAAGAAAAACATTCTAGATACTCTAGATTTGAAGTAACATTTCCAACCTATTAATAAACAGCTTGTCATGGAAGATTTTCAATAGGCATAAAAACCAGGGAGCTTAATTTGATAAAAGTATAAAATAGGGGCTGGAGAGATTGCTCAGTGGTTATATTCTTGCAGAAGACCCAGGTTCAAATCCCAGCACCCACATGGCAGTTAACAACTGTTTGTAACTCCAGTTCCAGGGGATCCAACGCCTACTTCTGGCCTCCGCAGGCATTTCATGACACAGGTGCACTTCACACATGTAGGCAATATACTCATACACACAAAATAAAAAATAATAAAATATTAAAATGTTATTGTTTTAAAAAAGTACAAAATATAAATTTTCAGTTGTAGGGTCAGTGATATTGATGTTATTACTATTTTTCCATGCTGATCTTAACCAATTTGAAGCACTTAATTAAGGCTACCTCACCTGGTATGGTGCACATCTATGCATCTAGCACTCAGGGCAAATGAACGTTGCTTCAAGCTCAAGGTCAGACTGGTCTATATAGCAAGTTGCAGGCCAACTGGGCCTACATAGCAAGATTCTGTATTTTAAAAAAGTAGCCAGACATGATGGGCCATGCTCTTGATCCCAGAATTTGGGAGGTAGGGGTAGGTAGATCAATAGTTCAAGGCCATCCTTAGCTCCATAGCATGTTTGAGGCTAGTCTGGGCTACAGGAGACCCTGTTTGAAAACAATTACAAAATCAAAAACTAAAGGCTGCCTAATCAGTGCTAATCCTAATATGATGATAAAATACTTCATGAACTATTAAATATTCCCAGAATGTAAAAGGAAGCATTGTAACATACCCACCTATATTTTTCTTCAAAAGAAATTTTTTTCTGATTCATAAAATATATATTTGAAATTTTTATACAATTGCTACCACTTTTTATTTTGAATATTTAAAGAGTTTTCTCTACATATACATGTACACACATACTACCGTAGTTTACTTAATACTAACAAAGATTTTATTTACCTAGTACTTCGGTACTAGAGAAAGAACCTGGGGATTCCAAATACTGTATTACATTAAAGATTTCACTAATTAAGACCACTTTTTTTGTGATGTTAGGAAAGAAAACACCTCCAATTACAGTAGTATGGTGTTGTCACTTATATAGTGTTGCTTTCAGAGGTAAGCAGTGCACATCTAGAACAATGAAATCTAGGACTGTATTCAGTGACATTTTCTGTCCCTAATGCTCTGTAACCTTCAGAAAAATGAAACATTTGATAAGTATACAAATGTATTTGTGCTATTATTATGCTATTTCAGTTTTATAATTTTTTTCTAAAATACTTGAATAAAAAAATGAGGCCTCGGAAGAGAAAGTTAGACAAGTAATTTTTGAATTTAAATTTAAATTTATTTTTATTTGTATTTTTGGAAGAATCTAGGGCCTCTAGTATGCTGAGTATTTGCTATATCACTTAGTTATATCCCTAGCCCCAAAGTTGGAGTTCTTGTTGCTACCTAGAGATTTTCAAAACTCCTAAGGATGAGGTGAGTATGGTGGCACAAGCCTTTAATCCTAGCACTCAGGGATCAGAGCCAGGCTGATCTTTGTGAGCTCGAGGCTAGCCCATGGCTACATATTAAGACCCCATCTAAAAAAAACCACACCAAACAAAAAAGCTCTTAAGGATGGAAAAATAAGAATAAAAGTTCTTTCCTGATATCCTCATTTTTCCACTTAGACTCTAAGGGGTAGAAAGTAAACACACAGATACTTCTCTGGGAATTGTGGGTAACTGACAATGACATCCTGAGTTAAGAACTTGGACTCTTGTACCAAAAGAAGTGAGGAGCAGGGATGGGAGAATGTGTGTAGAGCAAGTGTGGATATGACTTTTTAAATTTTTTTATTATTTTTATTTTATGTATATGAGTGTATTGACTGAATGTATGTAAGTGCAACCCGTGTCGTGCAATGCCCTCAGAGGTTGGAATCCCCTGAAATTGGAGTTAGGACAGTTGTTAGCTGCCATGTGGGTGCTAGGAACTAAACCCGGGTCCTCTGGAAGAGCAATTAGTGTTCTTAACCACTGAGCCATCTCTCCAGCCCCTCTTAAATGAACCTTTTTTTGTTAACCTCCATTTACAAGGTGACTGTTTCCATGAAAAGCCTCAGAAGAAATAAGCTGAAACCTTGAAGTCAACAGCAAGGTGAACACCTGGATGGTAGTAGAGTACTGGTGTTTTGTGTACTTGGAGCTCTCTTGTCTCTTAGCTTATAGCTTTAACCTTTGGATCACAGTTCAGTTCTCGGATATTTACTACTCCTTTCCTTAAGCAAAGGCTCAATTGGAGTTGGACTGTAATACCACATCTCTACAGAAGATGTCAGTATTTACCAAGGTTTACTATTACTGTGTAGGGTTCAGTCAGCATGATTCCATCTTACCTAAAGCTTCAAGTTTTGTATTATTATTTATCTTTTTTTTAAGGTCATCATTCTTACTTTTAATTAGGGAAAAGCATAAAGTAATCTTGCTTAAATTATTGTGAAAAAAACACAATCCAACACAAGACCAAATGGTCAGGAAAAGTCTCAAGCATTAAAGTAAAAAATTTAAGTAGGACTTCGGTAAATTTTCAGCTCAGGGCAAATATAAGTTTGAGTCCATATTTTGTTTTTTTTCCTTTAAGTAAGGTTTAATGTAACTTAGATTTTTCAACACAGCACAATTAATGAGGCTTTTAACCTCTAAGATATTAAACCATTATATTATCATTAACAAAAATGACCCTCACTTAAATTCTAAAAAAACTATTTGCAGAAATATTTAAAGGGCCTATCACTGGGGAAATGGTAGGCTAAACATTTAATCAGCCAAATATTGATATTCTATTAGGTTTATATATGTTTTTAAAGTACCTTAAGATTTCAGGATTAAATGTAAAAACTTAGTTTCTTAAGAAAGCACCCTAACTACAGATTTTGATCGCTAAGGTGTACAGATTTACTGCTCTTATCGTAACTGACAGACCCAGATGCTGCTAAGACACAGTGGGAATTCAGTTACTTCAATCAACAAAACTATTAGGGTATTGTTAGAGGAAGAAAATTTCTACAGACTCTGAAAGTAAAATCCAAAGCTGCTCTAAGAAGAGGTATCATAAGCTACTGTTACACCATTACTTAAGAACAACATGTCTGATATGCCTTAAAATACATACTTGTGCCAGGTGTGGTGGTGCATGCCTTTAATCCCAGCACTTGGGAGGCAGAGGCAGGCAGATCTCTGTGAGTTAGAGGCCAGCCTGGTCTATATAGTGAGTTCCAGGACATCTGGGGCTACAGGGAGACCCTGTCTCAAAAGAAAATACATACTTGTACTTTTGAAATAAGTTTGGAGCTTCAAAAAATTTGGACCACCCTGCCTTATTCAGCAAAATTTCATCTGTGATAGTAAGGCCTTGTTTAAACTCCTCAACCATGACCATCCGTTTTGAAACGGACACATTGTAGGTGGAGTTCTGTTGTGGGTATTCTGGTATAATTATAGGCATAAGATGATACCTATCACCAGGGTTTACCCTTGGGTCCCATACAGGCAAATTAAGATTGCATTCTTCAGGCTGTTTCAATAGCACTGGTTTTGGCCATTCCCATTTAGAAAATACCAAGAAAAATTTATGTACAAGAGTTGATGTTATTGCATTTGGATAAAGCTGGCAAGTTCTTGCTACTAGCATAGCCCAGGAAACACCACCGAGGAAGCCCAATATATTGGAATAGATGTCGTGCCGTTTGGCCCACAGTTTGACAGCTTTCAGAGTTAACCTGAAGTTGTCAATGTTTGGTACTAGATGTAAAATTTCATTGGTTACCCTGCAACTATTAAGATTTCTTATGCATCTTATATCTAAGTTTTTAAGCAGACTGTCATCTCGTAGGCCCAAATCTTCTGGAATAGTCTGTAGTGCTAATCTTGCAAATAAAATGTCCATCTGTATCCCATCAAAACAGGGTTTTGGTACAAATGCCTCTTCAACAGCTCTTAAATCTTTTACTTCTTCCTGTAATTTCAACTTATAGAATGAGGTGAAAAAGTCACTTTAATCAACATGTCTTGGTGCAACGCACAATGCATCAATATCAGCACCTTTTGTTTGTACTCCTAGTCTGTAAGATCCAAATTTAAAAATTTTTCCTCCAACATTTTTAATTACAGATTGTGGAAGATTCTTTCTTTCACTGATTTCTTGTATCTGCTCTTTCACCAAGTTATTTAATTTTCCCCAAATTTAAATCCTGCGCTGCAGTTCCTCTTCAAAAACCCCAAAGGATTTCAGAGTTTCAATGAGCTTCTGTGTAAGTAGGCAGTCAATCTCCTTGGGGGCTGCTAGGCTGAGCCCTGGGACTAATCCAGTCTCTCACCTACACCCGCACCCCGCCTCTTTAAGTGCTTCTCCTCCTTCGCCTTCGACCTGCCTTGGCGACTGAGCGCTACCACAGCAACGTTCTATTCTTTATCTTTTTGCCATTACTCACTCCTGTGTGTTTAAAATGCTGGCTTTAAGTTAGAATAAGATGAAAATTTGTAAAGTTTTTCTTTATATAAAGCCATACATTTAGTTTACAACATAGAATAGTTGTGTATTTACATTTTTATTGTTTCTTGGGGCGGGGGGGGGGCAATGAAACCCAGGGCCTAGACCTGACAAAGATTCTACCAAGTGAGTTAACTTTTTTTGTCGTTTTGGAGTCAGTGTTTCCCTTGTAGCCCCAGACAGCTTAGAGCTTGTTATGTAGACCAGGCTGGCCTTAACTTCACAGAGATCCACCTCTCTTTGCCTCCCGAGTGTATTAAAGGCATGTGTGTCACCATGCCTGGCTTATGAGTTAGTATTTTTTTCAAATATTTTATTTATTTATTTATTTATTTATTTATTTTTATTTTATGTGTATGTGTGTATTGCCTACATGTGTATAAGTGCACCTGTGTAGTGCAATGCCCATGGAGGATAGAAGAGGGCATTGGAGCCCCTGGAACTGGAGTTACGGACAGTTGTTAGCTACCATGTGGGTGCTGGGATTTGAACCCGGGTCTTCTGCAAGAACATTCAGTGTTCTTAACCACTAAACCATCTCTCCAGTCCCATGAGTTAGCTTTTTTTTAAAATATTATTTTTATTTTATGTGTATGAGTATATTGCCTGCACGTATATGAGTGCACCTGTGTCGTGCAATGCCACGGAGATCAGAAGAGGGTTTCGGATTCCCTAGAACTGGAGTTAATGACGGTTCGTAGCCGCCATGTTGGTGCTGGGAATCGAACCCAGGTCCTCTGCAAGAGCAGTCAGTGCTCTTAACCAGTGAGCCATCTCTCCAGCCCCGAGTTAGCATTTTTAAAAATATTTTGAGATAGGGTCTTATTAGGTAGTTTGGACTGGCCTTGAACTCACAGATCTGCCTCAGCCTCCCGAGTACCGAGATTACAGGTACGTACCACCATACCCAGCCCAACATAGTTTTAAATACAGAATTAAAAATAGTTTCATAGGTAACATGTTGTTCTACTGCTTGGTGTTACTAGTATTGATCCATGTAAGTATGTATTAGATTAACCAATTCTTTTTTTATATAAATATTTTTTTTAATTTTATGTGTATGAGTGTATTGCCTGCATGTATGTGAGTGCACCCGTGTCGTGGATTGCCACGGAGATCAGAAGAAGGCTTCGGATTCCCCTGGAACTGGAGTTAAGGACGGTTCGTAGCCGCCATGTGGGTGCTGGGAATCGAACCTGGGTCCTCTGCAAGAGAAATTAGTGCTCTTAACCGCTGAGCCATCTCTCCAGCCCCAGATTAACCAATTCTTTTTAATAGTTTCATGATACTACTATTGTAAGTTTAGTTTCTTTAATTTAGGTAATTCCCTTTTGTAGACTTATTGCTTTTTGATGAACACCTGATACAGTGAATATATTTGAATGTACATTGGCATGTTTGTAAATGTTTTTATGACATCAGTTCCTGGAAATGGAATCACTAGGCCAAAATGGTGTGTTGTTTATGTTACGATTTTAATAGGTATTACTATATTCTTTTCAAAAGAGGTCATACCAACCACCAAAGTGTGATCTTGTTTCCCCTCAATATATTATCAGGCTTAAGTTTCATGAATGTGGATGGGTAAAGAGTAGAATCACATTTCATATTTGGCAGATAGGTAGCATTTTATGTGTTGTGGACTTCTCTTTTGTAATTGTCTATTTGCAGTTGTCCATTTTCCGGTGGGTTCTCATTTTGAAACTTGATGTGCATTAGGAATATTGCTTACTACACATCTTTTCAGTTGAGGGTTCATGCCATGCCTAATTTTTTTATCCTTTCTAAGAATGCAAAAAAAAATCCTGCATTTTCTTCCAATCCACTTATAACCTTATTTTTACATTTAGATTTTAATTCATCTGGAATTTATTTTTGTGCTTGCTGTGAGGTAGGGAACACACTTTATTTTTTCCCAAATGGATAAATAGTTGACCAAACACCATTTGTTGAATAATTCATCTTTTTCTTACTGACTCAAAATACTATCTTTGTCATATACTAAATTATCATGTTTTGGGGTCTGTTTCTGGATTTTGCTTTGTTCCTTGATCTTTTTGTCAATCGCCGTGCTGCTACCATCTATTATAATCGCTGTAGTTTCATGATGTGGTTTACTGTCCAGTAGCGCAAGTCTAAGCTCATTTATTCACCTTTTTCTTTCTTGAATCCAGCACATCCAGATTATAGTTATTCCCAACAACTCTAGTGAGCGTTAAGCATTCCCCTTTGAAACTCCTGTAAGGGGTTCTGCTAAATTCTATGAATGTAGAAAGCGAGAATCTGAGAAGTATTCCTTGACACACTGCTGATCAGACCAGGTTTCTCAGACAGTCATGAAGATGACCTGACATGGGCTAGACTTTTAGGGGATTAGATGTGATATAAACTAGCTCCCGCAGCTTGTATTACTCATAGGCAGAGTACAGGGCCAGAACTGTGATTGATGATAGGTAGCTATCATACACATTCAGAAATGGCTATACTTTTTTATTTTGGGACTTCTCAGAACATAAAATCAATAATGGCCAATTAGGACTTTTAGTTTTTACTAATCTTTATGTGAAATTTACCCACTCATTCATTTCTGGAAACAATTCTATAATTCATATCATTTAAAGTATCATACTGTGACCATTAGAAGGCTAACTTCTTACATCTTTAGTTTCCATTTGATAATTTCAAGTTTGTGTGTATATGAGGGATATATATATATATATGTATATATATATGTAAATGGTTTGTTTTTTTTTAAACTAGAATGACCAGTCAACAGGGGACATAAAAGTTATTGGTGGAGATGATCTCTCAACTTTAACTGGAAAGGTATGTATCTTAAAGGAGAAGGAAAGAGCATTTTATATCAAGAATCAATTAGTAACTATGCTTTTAATCAATTACTAAGAGGTAGTTTATGTAATTAAGTAAGCGAGGGTTATTTTTACTTTTATTTACAGAAGATTATTCATACTTATTTTGGAAGCACTCTAGGTGAATATATTTCCCTAGGCTTTAGAGCCAGATGACAGCAAAATCTAACATTAAATATAAAAGTGCATAATGCTAACTATTGCTTGCTAACTATTGCTTTCTTTAATATCTCTGAGAATCTAATTTGAGATCCTTTAGAAAATTCAAATAGAGGAAAGGCAGCCTAGTTTCTTTTTTTAAGATTTATTTGTGCGTGTGTGCATGTGTGTGTGTTTCTGTATGTGTGTATGCACAGGTGTGTATGCCAGTGCACATACGTGTGCATGTATGTGGTAGCCAGAAGAGGGTGTTAAATCCTTCAGAGATGGAGTTACGGGCATTTGCAGGATACCTGGTTTGTTATATGAGTGCTGGGATCCAAACTTCAGTCCTCAAGATTGCACAGCAAGCATTTGTAATGCTTTTAAGTGCTCAACTATCTCTCCAGCCCCAGCACATGGTTTCTAAACAAAGAGGCAGTATTCTATAGTGGCTGAAAATGTGAGTTCTGGAATCTGACAATGCTGACTGAAACTTGGCTCAGCATTTCCTAACTCTGCAATGTTGGGGAGATCATTTAACATTCTGTGTCCCAGAGCTAACTGGGGTTTGAGGTGATAGTCATAGCTACTTCCCAGTTAAGGGGATTAAGTGAGAGATTATTGGTACAGTTCTTACAATACTTTCTGGTAAATGCAGGAAGTAAATTCGAATAAGCTATTACAAGAAATCTTACAGTTTTCTTGTTTTGTTTTTTTGTGAACACATGCTCTTGCCATGTGGAGATCAGAGACCTACTTACAGGGTCTGTTCCAGGAATTGAGTTTAAGTCACTAGGTGTGGCACCAAGTATCTTTACCTGCTGAACCATCTCAATGGCCTCTCCTATTTTTTGGAGACAGGATCTCACTCTGTAGCCCACTCCATCCTGGAACTCATATGTAACCCAGGCTGGCCTTGAACTCATAGCAGTCCTCCTGCCTCAGTCTCCCAAGTACTAGGATTGCAAGTATAAGCCATAGCACCTGACTGAATATATTCAGATATACATCTGAATATATGCAGATGCCAAAGCTTTTTTCTTCTGCTAGCTTTTAGATTTTTGTGTTCACTATTTCCTTGATTGAAAATCTGTAAGGAAACATTAACATAAAACACTTGTGTGTAATTCTGTGGTCCTATATTAGGGTCATGCAAAACTAATGTTGACATCAGCAGCTTTTCAAAACTTCAGAGAAGTTGTAATCTGTTGGTTCTTTCCCTCTCCTATCCAGTTGGTATACAATTGCCAGACCTCCTTCCCTTTCCGCGTGCTTTGTCCATATTTAGAAGCCATTCGAAACCCTTACTCCTATAATCAGTTTTCAGTGCTTGGGAGAGGCCTAGACTTCAAGGCCTTGTGTGATTTAGTTTGACCTTGTCTTTTTCACCTCATGGGTCTGTCCCATTACACAACTCTGTGATCTTAAACAGATCTCTGCTTCTAAAATAACTTTTTATGACATTCACAGTAGAGCACATTTATTGTGGAAAAAAATCAAGAAATAAAAATTAAGTAAAGTTAAATCTTGGTGGTGAGATTATGGGTTTATTTTAAATGTTTCTGGTTTTTTCTTTTGTGGAAATTTATGTGTGTGCAAGTACAGACATACACAAATATTTTCCCCAGTTAATGTTTGAGAATATAGGCTTTGGACCCTAAATCTACCTTTGTTTAAATCCTGTCCCTTCCACTTGTCTGGTTATTACTTTGGGTAAATCATTGGACTTCTGAGCCCCATTGTTTTCATTATTACACAGAGATGTGGTACTTGACATAAAATAAACTCTCAGTGGTAGTTGACTACAGTTTTATATTGAACAAATAATCTCTCTGGACTTTGATTTGTAGAAGCTGTTTTATGCTAATAAAATCTATAGTTATGGACTGGCAAGATGGCTCAGTGAGTGAAGTTGCTTGCCACCAAGTCTGACGATATGAGTTTGATCCCCCGAACCTATGTGGTAAAAGGAGAGAACCAACTTCCAAAAGTTGTCCTCTGATCTTCACATGTGAGCCATGGCACATCCACCTCCCCCAAATAAGTGTAAAGAAATACAAACTATAGTTAGGTTTTAATCAAGGATGCGTAGCCATTTAATGTTATGTGCAAGACTAGAATTCAGTCTCTCTGTCCTATCAGCTCATGCTGTTACCAGTCTAGCTATCCTATTGCCTCAACAGTCACTGCTGCAGTGAGGCAGTTGTTGGTGGGACTGTTATCCTTCAGATGTGCTAGGTGGGGAGAGAAGATGTTGAGAAAGAACTGCATATTATTTAGGGAAACAATTACTGATCCATTGGATGATTGTATACTGTTTTGATAAAGATTTATATTGTAGTATCTATGTTCACTATTTCATGTAATCTTCATGGTTTCCCTATGAGGAAGTTAGTATCCCCTTTCTGTATAGAAGAATGTTGACAGAACTGCAGCTTGAACAAAGAAATTGTCTTGCTCCAGCGTTTATATAAAAGGAGTCATTTGAATAGTTAAATAGCTTTTTCCCCAGTATATTAATGTATCTTCAATTCAAGTAGAATTAATAGAAACTTTGTAATAATTGTAAAACATGATTATGTTATTCATTTGCTCTGTATCTTTGGATTGTCCCAAATTATTGTGTCTGTTTATTTTCTGTGCATGTCCTGAGCTCTACTTTGAAGTAACCGTTTTCCTGCTTATAGAATTGATTGCAGTTGTGAGTTGTTTGTCAGAAGTTTGAGGTAGCCTTGCTTCATTGTGCTCTAAGATTCATATAGGATTGTGAGATACTGCCTTCAATGATAACTTGCTTTGAGACATGGAAATACTGGAAGATTTTTAATACGTAAGCTGTGATTCTCCAAACTCTTATTTGTATGCCTGGACAGTAAAACATTCTTCAAGGATTTACTCCCAATATGTGTATTTGTAAATTATACATGAATTTTGGTAGTCATACATGTTATAAAGTGATTAAAAGTATAGGTTAAACCAAATGAGGTTTAAACAAGTTTGTATCTTCATGAAACCTAGTGGATGTTGTATACTCTGCTTTGGTAACCTCTAGCTAAGAACAATATGAAGGACATTAAAATTCTATTGTTGTGTTGGTGAAATGGCTTAGTGGGTAAAGCACTTGGCTGCCAAGACTGACAACCTGAGTGCGATCCCCAGAATCCACATGGTGGAAGGAGAGAACTAATGTCTGCCAATTGCCCTTTGCTTCCCACAGGCACTGTGGTACACACACACACACACACACACACACACACACACACACACACACACACATAAAAAATCTTTAAGAGAAAAAAAAAAAAAAAAAACACACACACACACACACACACACACACACACACACACAAATAAATAGAAATTAAAAAAAATTCTAGTGTTGTGGTTGTTCAGCAGAGTGCAATGAGAAGTATAGATAGCCTAACATAAATCTTCTGTGGCAGTGAGTACTACCAGTATGTGAAATGCTGCCTCATTCCCAATCTATAGCTACTTCTAACACAGAAAGAACTTTTCTCTACTTTGTGAGCTATAAAATTCTGAGATGTAGAAAGTGGTGTGAGGAGCTTGGCACAGAGAAAACTGTAACCTTAGCATTCAGTAGGGTGAGACAGGACTGCTGCCAGTTTGAGGCCAGCCTGGGCTAGAGTAAAACCCTGTCTCAGAGAAGAGAAGGATGGAGTGGGATAGGGTGGGCTTAGGGTTGATGATGGGAGGAAGTATTGATATTTTGGGGGTAGTCCTAAAATTATGGGTACATCTATATTAGTTGTAGCTTAATGGGAAAATAAATTCTGACTTGTATTCTATGTTATATTAAATGCATGATTTTGTAGGTATTGTACAGATTAAAGGTTTCAGAATATTAGAGTCAGAAGATATGAGACCATATGTTATGTGATTTCACTGATAATAGAAAATACTATCTCATTTGATATACTAATGTTCATTTCTCTTTTTCTTCTAGAATGTCTTGATTGTTGAAGTAAGTTTTACATTTACTTTTAATATACTGTTTATAATTTTCTAACTTAGTATGCACCATACTAAAGGTAAGCCAAGGAAGGAAATCTTCCTGTTTTAATAGTGAACTTGTGTTTTGTAAAGAGTACCCAGAGAAGCCAGGTACAAGGGACATGCCTGAAATCTCAGGATCAGGAAGCTGATGCAGGAGGATTAGGAATCCACCTAGGACAGCATGGGCTGCAATAGACCCTATCTCAAAAAAGAAAGGCTAGGTGATGTATTTTTGCTGGCAATGAAAAAAACAAAAAATATACTTCCTCTGTTTTAAGTTTTGTTTTAAACTAGCTATAACCTTGTGGAGCTCGCTCTCTCTCTCTCTCTCTCTCTCTCTCTCTCTCTCTCTCTCTCTGTGTGTGTGTGTGTGTGTGTGTGTGTGAGAATTTTTGTCTTTGGTAATACGTTAAGAATATTGCAAAAATTCTTATAAAAGAAAGAAAAATTAAAATGTAGTTTGTGCACTATTTTCCATTTGCTATTATGTCCTAAAGTTCCTTGACGTAGTAATAGTCAAATTTATCTAGTGCTCACTTTGCCAGGCACTATTGTGTGATAGAAACAAGCACAGAGAGGTCATGCCCGCTCCCAAGATTACCACACAATCATCTCTGTATGTAGCCCATTGCTTCTCAAAGTGTGAGCCCTAGACCATCCACCATCCATCAGCCAGCAACCCACTAAATCAAAATCTGTGAAGTCCAGCAAGCTATACTTGAACAAATCTTTAGGTGATTTTGATGCATGCTGAGTTTTAGGAACACTTGATATACTCAGAAATCACGTTTCCATTAAGGTCTTCTCTGCCCATTCTTTATAAAAAAATTTCATGTTTCCATGCCCTCAATTTTTCTATCTGTTTCAATACTATTTTTCACTTACCACTGTTTAACCACTTACATGCGCACTTTATTTTTATTTTTTTGTTGATGGTCTACCTTACTGGAACTCTATAAATCTCTAAACCATAGTTTGTGATTATGCTTCCTACCTTGACCATTTTCCTTGATTCTTTTATTTTTAAAAGATTTATTTTTAGTCGTGTGTGTGTGTGTGTGTGTGTATGTGTGTGTTCACATGTGTACACTGTGTACATGAGTGCCCTCAGAGACCAGAGGTTTTGGATCCCCTAGAGCTAGATTCACAGATGGTTGTGAGCCGAGTCACCTGATGTGGGTGCTGAGAATCAAACTGAGGTCCTCTTGAAGAGCAGTATGATCTCTCTTAACCACTGAGCTATCTTTCCAGCTCTTTCTTAGTTCTTCAGTATAAATGTTTTTTAATATATGACCTGAGTATACATTACCAGCCTCATTCTCCAGCATCTTTCATTTTCTCTATACTTTCATATTTACCATGAATTTTCTGCCCCTAGTTGCTCATTCATTTTTGTGATCTCGTTTCCTTTCTGTTTTTTTTAAGATTTCTTTACATTCATTTATTTATTTGTGTGCACATAGTATGTGTCTGAGTGTATGTGCACACGTGTGCAAATATGGATGCCCGTGTACATGTATGGAGGCCAGATGAGGATTATGGATGTTTCCTCTATTGTGCTTCCTTTTTTCCCTTGAGGAAGGGTCTCGCCCTCAACTTGGGACTTGTGTTTTCTCAGCTAGGCTGGATGCTAACAAGATCCAGTAATCCTGTCTCCAGCCTGCGGTTACAAGTGGAGCAGAATACCTGACTTATTACATTACTGTGGAGATCTAGACTCTGATCCTCATGATTGGACAGCTAGTATGCTTAGCCACTGAGCCACCTCTCTAGCCTTTATTTTGTTTTTGAAAACAATCAAATTTTAATTTATTTTGTCAGTGTTGCTGTGGATCAAACCAAGAGCCTTCTGTATGCTAAACAAGTGTTCTACTGAACTATGCCACCAGCCCTTTGAGTTGTTTGTTTTGAGACAGGGTATACCTGGCTACATAGCCCAGGCCAGCCTCTCAACTCCATCTACCTGCCTGCACCTACCTACCAATTGCTGAGATTACAGGCATCTGCTGTCATACTCAGCTTTTTTCCTCCCTCCCTTCCTCCCTCCTACGAGATCTTGCTACATAGCCCCAAATAGTTTTTGTTTTTGTTTTTGTTTTTTTTAAATCATGATCTCACTATGTAACCCCATCTAGCTTGGAACTCACTGTGTAGACCAGGATATCTTGAACTTACGACTTTTCTGCCTCTGCCTTCCAAGTGTTGGGATTACAGTTGAATCCCTCATGTAACCTCTATACCTATGTAACCTAGGCTGGCCTTGAGCTCATAATCCTACTGCCTTAGCTTCTGACATGATGAGATTACGGGTGTACACCACCATTCTTCAGCCTCCCTCCCTCCCTTCCTTTCTTCCTTCCTTGCTTTTTCAAGGTATTTTTCTTTAATTAAAACTCTGTGTGTGTGTGTGTGTGTGTGTGTGTGTGTCTGTCTGTCTGTCTGTCTGTCTATAGTCATATGTGCTATACATATGTGGAAGTCAGAGGGCAACTTTGTGTGTGTAGTCAGTTCTTTCCTTCGACATTTTACATCGAATCCAGGGATCAAACTCAGGTCACCAAGCTTGAATTGCACCTTTACCCATTGAGCCATCTTGCCAGCCCTCTCTTACTTAGTTTTTAAAGTAACAGTTTAAGAACATCTTCATTTCCAAGCAGAAAATTTTCTATTTCTTCCTCCCCCTTCTCCACTTTCTAAGATTTGCCTGTTTTAGATACTTCATATAAATGGTTCATATGATGTGTGCCCTTTGTGTCTGACTTCTTTCACTTACCTCATATCTGTGTTATAAAATGGATCAATATATTTTTAATTTTTTGATTTATTTGTTTTTATGTGTATGAGTGCTATGTCTGCATGTATGTAAGTACATCCATGTTGTGCAGTGCCTGTGGAGGACGTTGGATCACCTGGAACTAGAGTTACGGATGGTTGCTAGCCACCATGTGGGTGCTGTAATTCAAACCCGTATCTTCTGCAAGAACAGCCAGTGCTTTTAACCCCTGAGCCATCTCTCCAGCCCCTGAATCAGTATTTTTTATTTCCTCTTTCTTGTGCCATATGACTTAAATATGGCAGTAATCTTCCTGTTCAATATTCTTCCTGTGACATCCTAGAATTATGTTTTTCCTAAGTCTGCAGCCCTGACGTTTGTCATGGTCCACGCTGCTTTATGGATTTTTGGTTTTGGATTTTGTGTGTAGGCGGTAATGGAGATCAGACCTGGGGCTTTGTGCCTTCTTAGGCAGGTGCTTCACCACTGAGCTATACTCCCAGCCTATGTATTCTACCATTTATGGTTTAATGGCTTGTCTTGAATAATGTCTTACTTCAAATAGCTGAGATATACATAAATATAAAGTCATATATTAAAACTTTGGATGCCTTAAAACAATTTGGATGCCTTTAAAGATAATACAAAATGTGGCTAGAGAGATAGCTCAGAGATGATGAGCACTGGCTGCTCTTGCAGAGGATCTGAGTTTGGTTCTCAGCACCCATGTGGTGACTGGCAACTAATCAGTAACTATTTCTGGGAATCCAACTCTTTTTCTGACCTCTTTGGGCATTGCATGACACGATGTACTTATATAAATGCAAATGAAACATTCATACACATAAAGTAAAAATAAATTTTAAAAATTAAAAAAGGATAATACAGCTGGGCGTGCTGCACGTGCCTTTAATCCCAACATTGAGGAGGCAGAGCCAAGTGGATCTCTGTGAGATTGAGGCCAGCCTGGTCTACATAGTGAGTTCAAAGTGAGCTGTGGCTACAGGGAGACCTTGTCTCAAAAAGACACTCCCCCAAAAAAGATAATACAAAGCAGCATTTTCCAGAGTATCAGAGTCATTGTCTTGAATTTATTTGTTTTAAAAAATACTTTATTACATTTATTTTATGTGTATATTTTTCCTGCATGTATGTAAATGTATTCTATGTGTGCAGGGCCCACAGAGGCCAGAAGAGGATGTAAGATCCCTGGGAACTGGAGTTGGGGACAGTTGTTGGCTTCCAAGTGGGTTCTGGGAATCGAACGTGGGTTCTCTGCAAGAGCAGTCAGTGCTCTTACCCACTGAGTCATCTCTCCAGCCCCAACTGTCTTGAATTTATGAAGAAAAATATAACATACCTTTTATGGAACAAAGCATGGCAGTTTATGCCTGTATCCTAGCTATCAGGAGTCTGAAGCAGGATCTTGAGTTTAAGGCCAGCTTCAGCTACATAGCTAGACCTCCTCTGAATAAAAACACAAACAAAAGACTTGCATAAAGTATACATTGCTTACTTACATATATTTAAATGTACCATTATTGACCTCTTCACACCTGTGAAATCTACTGTGAAATCTAGTACTAGGGACTGACATTCCTGCTCCTTGCTGAGGGTCAGATGTTTTACAGACTCCATGCTCTTCTCTGTGTGTGAATTTTAGTAAGAATTTGTGTACTGAGAACATAATGGCATTATGCCATGGGGAGATACCATAATATTGGAGTTTTGGTATTTTATATTTATATAGAGACTCTGATTTTAAAACTGATTTTTTATTCATCATTTAAATGTCTTTTTTAAAGGATATAATCGACACTGGCAAAACGATGCAAACCTTGCTGTCCTTGGTCAAGCAGTACAACCCCAAAATGGTTAAGGTCGCAAGGTACGTATGATATTTTAAAATAGAATGTTTTCTTGGAGGATTAAGTGATTGCTTCTTTGTAAGGAGAAATGCTTTCAGGTGTCATTTTATCTTCAAAAAGTAATGTAATCTCAAATAAAATTCTGAAAATATCCTTGGTAATTTTATTGTGTGTTAACAAAGCCCTTCGCTATAGTCAACTCCTTGTCTAAGACAGTATCCACAGGGCCTTAGATTTAGGACCACCTCAGACATTAAACTCCCCAGATGCTCAAGTCTCGCATAAAAATGCGAACCTATGCACATTCTTCCATATACTTTAAATCATCCACAGGTTATTTATAATACCGATTACAATGTAAATACCATATAAGCACTTATGCTGTATCATTTAGGGGAAAATAATGTAAATATTTAGTTATAGATGAAATTTTTTAAATATGTGTGTGGCATGGTATATGCATGTGAGTGTGCATACCCATGTATATCATGTGGAGGCCAGAGCAGGACAGGATGTCTTCCTCTATCACTCTCCAACCTATTGCCTTGAGATAGGGTCTCTGAGCCAGGAGCTCAAAATTTTGGCTGTCAAGCTTTCAAGATACATCTGTCTTCAACCCCAGTACTGGGATCCCAGGCACCCACAGCCATGCCCAGCTTTTTACATGGGTCCTGGAGATTTAAACTCAGATCCTCTGTTTGTAGACCCAAGTGCTCATGCCCATGGATTTATCTCTCAGCCCCTAGAATATCTTCATGCACAAGTTTCTAGATATGGAACTTACACAGAGCCAAGTAACAGCTGTTTTTGCAGCATGCTAATTATATCATCTTGCCTTTAGTAGCACAGCAAAAGATCTAGGGCCCCCTGTGAAACTGAGACCAAGAATCCCAAAGGGAAAGCAGGTGGTAACAAGGGGTGAGCCCTCAAGATCTGGACCTCTTGGAATTGAGTGGTGGTTGCTACATCTTGTTTTGTGTCCTTATTGACATTTTACAATGCCTGCTTCACCTCTTAGCTATACTTGGGTGTTTAGCTTTTGCTTTTACAGTTCTCTCCGTAGATAACCCCAGTTACAGTTTAATCCTCCAAGTTATCTCCACCTTACAGATGAGGACACTGAAGCGTAGGGAATTTCCCAAAGACACAGAGCTAATAAGCTACAGAGATGAGACTTGAACCTGGGGAACCTGGCTCAAGTTGATGCCTTTACTGTCTTCAGTTTTTTTGTTAGAAGTAACATTTGAGGGGCTGAAATGATGGCTCCGTGGTTAAGAGCACTGGCTGCCCTTGCGGGAGACCTGGATTCGAATCTCCCAACCCACATGGTGTCTAACAACTATCCATAACTCCAGTTTCAGAGGCTCTGAAGCCCACTTCTGTCCTCCACAGGCATTGTACAACATGGGTGCATTTACATCCATGCAGGCATAACATGCATATACATAAAATAAATTTAAAAAAAAAATTAAAAAGAAGTGACATTTATTGTTGCTGGGTTTTTTGTTTTTTTATACTTTTATATTTTTGTTTTTATTTTTAAGCCTTTGACCAACCTATAAGTTTTTTAATCTGTTTTTTAAAATTTTATGTGTACGTGTATATTGCCTGCATGTAGGTAAGTGCACTTGTGTCGTGCAATTCCCACAGAGGACAGAAGAGTCTGTCGGATCCCCTGGAGTTACAGACAGTTGTTAGCTGCCATGTGGGTGCTGGGATTCGAACCCAGGTCTTCTGCAAGAACAACCAGTGTTCTTAACTGCTGAGCCATCTCTGCAGCCCCCAACCTATAATTTTTGTGTAGAGGTTAACTGCTTTTTCTTTCTTAATATTAAAATTACATTTATTTACTTATTTTGTATGTGTGTGAGGGGGTGCACCTGTACTTATGAACCTCAGAGGGCAGCCTGGGAGGGTTAGTTCTCTCTTTCTACTATGTGGGTCCTAAGGATGAAACTCGCAGCATCCGGCTTGGCAGCAAGTGTCCTTATACACTCAACCATCTCACTGGGCAATTAACTGGTTTTATAAACTGTTTTTGAAGGATCAAAGTTATCTGAGTAGGGTTTTTGACTCTGTATAAGCCTGTGAATCAGGCATATCCGCAGTAGATCCTTATGCCTTTTCTGATAGCTGGTGCAAGTGTACCTCAATGAGTATTTGTGGTTTTGGAGGTCAGACATGCTCAGAGAATACTTAAGTCATTTCTTAGTAATGTAAATGTCCTACACAGATATGTTTTTGTCTCCCTAATCTTTCCCCAACCCAAAGTTTTAATATCACAGAAATCTATTTAAGTCTTGCTTTATGTATACAGAGTTACATGTAAAGCTTCTTTTTATTCGGTGTAGGGTTAAGGATGGCTAAATACATTTTTAACTTAAAATCTTTTTTTATATATTTTTTAAAAAATAATTTATTTCTATTTTATGTGTATGAGTATATTGCCTGCATGTGTGTAAGTGCACCCATATCATGCAATACCACCAGAAGATGGTGTCATATCCCCTGGAACTAAAGTTACAGAAGGTTTTTAACCACCATGTGGGTGCTGGAAATCAAACCTGGGTCTCAGCAGTGCTCTTAACAGCTGAGCCATCTCTCGAATCCCTTAACTTAAAAAATCATAAAACAAACTAGATATGGTGGTATGTGCCTGTAATCCCAGCATTTGGCAGGCTGAGACAGGAGAATCGTGAGTTTGAGATTAACCTGGGCTACATAGCAAGTTCTAGGCCAGCCTGGGTACATAGTGAGATCCTGTCTCAAAAACAGAATAAGGAAAAAATAAACTGAAAATTAAAAAGCTGTTATTTGATAAGAATATAAGATAGTATGGCTACTCTAAAAAACAATAAACTAAATGTCAGGAATGGTTATGCATACTTTTAATCCCAGCACTCTGGAGGCAGAGGCAGGCAGATCTCTTGAGTTCAAGGCCAGCCTGGTCTACTTGAAGCAAGTTTCAGGCCAGTCAGGGATATTGGCAGACCTTGTCTCAAAAAGAAAGAAAGAAACAAAAAAATGACACATGTAATTGCTATAAGCCCCCAGAAATTGTACTATTGAGTACTTAACCCAGAGAATTGAAAAATGCATGTCCATATTGAAATCTATACATGTGGATTGTCAAGTATGGCGATTCACCCCTGTAATCTCAGCACTTGGAAGGTAGAAGCAGGAAGATCACAGCCAAGTTTGAGGCCAGTCTAAGCTACACAGTGAAATGCTGTCTCACATACCTCCCCACTGAAATCTGTACATGAATGTCCATTATAGCATCATTTGCAGTACCCCCAAAACTAAAAGCAATATAATTTGAACAGAACTGCAGTACACTCTACCATCATACTCAGCAATAAACAGGAACCAGCTATTGATAATACAGTGCAAATGAGCCTTAATAGAATTGTGCAATTATTATGACCCTTACTGCATTATCTAAAGCAGGTGTTTTTCTCCATCTTTTAAAACCCCTTGCCTGGACCTTGTTTTGATATACCTAAACTTCCCTAATTTATTTTTCAAGGTTGCATAGTTAAGCCCCCAAATAAAAGCAAACTAATGAAAAGAAACTGATTCTATTCATAACCTTCTTGAAATGACAAAATTACATAGATGAGAACAGATTAGTGGTTGCTAGGGTTGGAGCCTTGTGTGGTGCAAATTAGCTTGATTGTGGTGATGATTTCTTACATCCATGTGCTTGAAATTGCCTAAACTGTACAGAAAGGTGGATATATGGAAAATTGGAGACATCTGTATAAGGTCGATTAATTCACTAATGCCCATGTCTTAGTTGTGATAATCTGCTATCATTGGAAGAAACTGAAGGACATCAGGGACCTCTCTTGCATGGAATTTTTTATTTACATGTTCTACAGCTCCTGTGAAAATAAAAATTTTGAGAGCCATTCACCTTTTGTGTGTCTGTGCGTGCATGTGTGCGTGTGATTCAACCCAGGACCTTGCACATGCAAGACAGCCATTCAAACCATTAACATTCAGTGCTATCTTTGTGTTTACTTATATAATTAAATTACATTTGCAAATTAATAATTCTATAAATATCTGATAACAGCATTGTAATTTTTTTAAAGAATAAAGTGACTCAGAGCTGTTAGGTTTTCAGCAAAAATCAAACAATTGAAAATATAATTCATTTGAGCTGGGTGTGGTGGCTTCCGCCTTTAATCCCAGCACTCAAGCGGATCTCTGTGAGTTTAAGGCCAGCCTGGTCCACTTAGTGAGCTCCAGGCCAGCTGGGGCTACAGGGAGAGCCTGTCTCAAAAACACAAAAAGAAAAGAAAATGAAATTAACTTAAAAATTAACTTAGAGGCTGGAGCAGGTAGCTCAGTGATAGAATATATACTTAGCCTGAGCAAGACCCTGGGTTCAGTTCCCATTGCAAAAAATAAAAAGGAACTTTCAACACAGTAGTTGGCTTTTAGCCTAAAGTTCCTCTTTGTAAGCCAATTATTAAAAGGTGATGAGAGGTCATACCCTTTCCGATTCCTTTACAGCTTAGGGATTGTATTTCAGGGATTCTGGATCTAGAGCCCCTAACTTTTCATTTTTGCTCATGGGTGCTCCCCACTTAAGCATCCTCCTCATTAGCTGCTCTTCAATAGACATGTGGGTAGTTAGGATTCAGCTCTCAGAACCATTTTAATCAGCTTCCAGGTGGAGATCAATCAAGGGCCTTGTCCTTAGTATGAACTCATTGCTGCCCCTTCCTGATGATCCTCATGATTTAGCTCTCCATTTTAGTCTTCCTTTGGATATGGTGAAACTGATTGTGGTATACTAAATGCAGATGACACACTAAGAACATTAATGTTCTCTTTTGTAATGCACTGTTGTCACGTGTAATTTTTGTAATTAACAGCCTGCTGGTGAAAAGGACTTCTCGAAGTGTTGGATATAGGCCAGACTGTAAGTAGATGCCTTTTTGTCAATCATTTATTCATCTTATAACCTGAAAAAAATTGAATGTGAAATGACTTAGAGTTACTTTAGACAGTATTTGCAAAGGAGACACATTTTAAGCATTGGATTGGAAAGTAATGTTTTCTGTATCTAAATGATAAATTGTGATTCTTTTCAGTTGTTGGATTTGAAATTCCAGACAAGTTTGTTGTTGGATATGCCCTTGACTATAATGAGTACTTCAGGGATTTGAATGTAAGTAATGCTGTTTTTTTTTAAATTTTTCTCACACTCATTTTTCAGAAACACATAAAAACTGAGGAAAGGGAAGAATTGTTTTCTCCTTCCAGCACCTTGTAATTTGACCAGACTGATGGTTCCCATTAGTCACATAAAGCTGTAGTCAAGTACAGACGTCCTTAGAACTGGAACTTGGCCAGACAAGGGTGACACTTCTTGCTGGCTCAAATAGTTGAACAGCTTTAATATACAATAAGTCTCATTATTATTTTGGATGATAAATAGGGTCATAAGTAAGAAATCAGTGATTTAGTTTGTCTTGTAATTTATTTCAAATACTGCCTCCCACTCTGGAGGCAGGAGCCCCATGGGTGTGTTTATGAACATGGTCCGGGAATATTTAGGAAGACTACATGAACAACATTATCTAAAGTCGGTTTTTAACTTCATCTTTTAAAACCACTTATTCTGGTCCCTGTTTTGATATACTTTAAATTCCCGACTTCTTATGTTCTTCAAAGTTACCTAGTAAAACAAAAACAAAGCAAACTAATGGAATATACTGCTGCTTTGTTTTCAAAATGTGCTCTCTCCAAGTTACTAGCATAAAGTACAATAATTTACTTGTTTTGTAGGAACCCTGGCAGCATACTAGTGTTCTTATAAGACATGCAAAATACTGTTCTTGCCTTTCGTTTCAGAATATCCTTTTCTAATGTGAATTTCTGGCCTTTTATTTTATAGCATGTTTGTGTCATTAGTGAAACTGGAAAAGCCAAATACAAAGCCTAAGATGAGAGTCCGAATTGAGTCTGCAAAACCGAGGCGTACCATTGATGTTGCCAGTAAAATTATCAAACGTTCTAGATCTGTGGCCATCTGCTTAGTAAAGCTTTATGCATGAACCTTCTAAGAATGTTACGTTTTGTACTTTAGAAATGTCAGTTGCCGCATTCCTGAACTTTTTATTTGCACTATGAGCCTATAGGCAGACTGTCACTTCCCTTTGATGCCATTTAACTTGTGAGTAAAAAAAAAACTTTTAAATTACCACTATTAAATAATAATAATATTGAGATTGTATCTGTAAGAAGCATTTAAAGAGAAGATATATTAGTTTTTTAATTGGTATTTTAATTTTTATATATTCAGGAAAGAACAGATGTAATTGAATATTGTTAATTATTCCACCTTGCATTTAGAACAGTCTGAAGCAGTCAATTTCACATCAATAACAGCATCTAAGAGGTTTTGTTCAGTTGAATAAAGCTATCTTTCAGCAGTGTTGACTGTATAGCCCCACTTGGGTTATTTGAGTGAATCTTTGTCAACAGTTCCTTTTAAAATGCAAATAAATAAATTTCAAAAATGTACCACTCTTGAGTTCTGAAGTGTTAAAATCCTTAAAACTAAAGACTCATCTTTAAAATAGGAGCTGTGCCTGCCTATCATTTCTCACAAATTAACTTAGTACAATTTTCTGTTGGCTATCTTTTCCTTAAGTTTGAGTTGTGAGTTTAATTGTAGTCTTTACCAAACATAGCAAATAGTTATCTGGTGTAGGAGTCACTTTTACAAAATGGATAGAAACTGGACTAATGACTTACTGATTATGTGCTCTTGTGATCTAGGCAACTGACTTTGATCCCTTGGGACCTCAATCTACCCTCTACCCAAAATAGTGAATGAGTGTAGGTATGCTTGAGAATTAGCAAATCAGAGTGCTGAAAGGCAGCACATTCATGTTCATGCCTTCATTGAAAACAATGAAGACTGAAAAGAATACTTGACATTGTGTGCATGCGATGTTTTAGGCCCAGAGATGAAAGGGCAAGATCATCTGGTAAGGGTGGATCCAAGCTTGATGCTGGAGAAATGGTTTTGAATAAAATTACGGGTGAGGCCTGACTCAGCAGCACAGTTCCAGGAGACATCTGGAGGAATGGGTGCCCTCTGTGTTCAGGCCCACTCTTAAAAATAGCCAGGCTGTTTATTCAGATGTTAATGGTAATGAGTTATAACACTACTTTGTGGTATCCTGTGTGAGGAAGAGACTTTATTCCAAACTCAGGTCAACAGCTAGAGAAGTCCTGAGGAAAAAGGGAAAAATGGAACATCTTAATCATACGTTGTCATAGTTGTAAGTTGTATGACAAGGAGCACAAGGCTTTCCTTGACAGCTTGTGCCATGGATAGGCTCCTGGGAAAGTCCCAGGGAAAAGGGAATTGTATCTTCTAAGTCATGCATGAGGGTCAGTGATATGACAGCAAGCACAAGGCTTTCTTGTAGCTTGCACTGGTGTGCTTTAATAATTATTTATTCACTTTTAAAAAAATCTCATTTACTGGGACTGGAGAGATGGCAAGGCAGTTAAGAGCACTGACTGCTCTTGCAGAGGACCCAGGTTTGAATCCCAGCACCCACATGGTGGCCAAGAACCATCCTTAACTCCAGTTCCAGGGGAATCCAAAGCCCTATTCTGACCTCTGTGGCATTGCACGACACAGGTGCACCCACATACATGCAGGCAATGTACTCATATGCATGAAATAAAAATAATAAATATTTTTTTAAAAATCTCATTTACCAGGCTGGCACTGAAACAAACTTTTGCTTTTTTTCATCTTTCTGTTTTCACTATGGAGATGCTTATCTCCAAAGTCTTTTAAAAGCATATGCTTGGCAATTAATAAATTTACTTAGGGGAATTGGAACTAAAGCATCATCAAAGCAAATTTGTGAACCTTTAAATGTTCAGAAATATTTTTCCTGGTATCCCAACCATGTAACACTTAATTCAAAGTCTTGGGAAAAAACTGATGACCAATTAAGCTACTGCTTAGAAACAAACAGTTCAGTTGAAGCATTTAACTTCTTGGAACCAAATTAAAGTAGATATGCAGCCTTATCAGGAGAAAAAAAAGGTGTGCTTCCAAAGAATTACCGCTAATAGGACCTCATGGACTTCCTCCACCTAATTCTCTTGCCTTCCATGGAACTGTCTTCTCTGGGGCAAAAGACAATGGAAAAAACTAATTTAGTTAAGTATTGTACCTTGTTTGGCAGTTACTAGGTTGAAAATGTTAGTGTTTTCTGCCCTGCATCTCCAAGCTCGTCTCTGAGATTAAAAACCCTTTCACTCTCTTTTTTTTTGTGTTTTTGTACCAATGTGCTGCTTTTGAATTCATTTTCCAGTCAAAATGACATGGGTAGGTTAAAAAGAGCAGGCATTCTCATAATTTTTTTTCCAAATTCTTTTGAATGTTACTGTTTTCTGTGTGCCTAGTTCTCTAAATTATGAGTATTTAACCCAAGATTGCATGTGGTAAATTATAATGTGGTTTTTCTAATGCAGACAGCCAGACTGATAGCACTCTTTAAAATAATTCACTCTGCATGCTATCATGTTTGCCTACAAATTATATTTTTATAAAAGGTCCAATGAGGGGCTGGAGAGATGACTCAGTGATTAAAAGCACTGGCTACTTTTGTAGAGGATCTGGGTTTGGTTTCCAGGACCCACATGGCAGCTAACAACCATCCATAATTCCAGTTCCAGGGGATCCAACACCCTCTTCTGACCTCCGAGGGCATTGCACAGTACAGGTACACCTATGTAGATGCAAGCAATACACTGATACACAAAAGAAAATTTTTAAAAAGGATCAAAGGAAACATTTAAGGGGATTTCAGTGATTTAACTTACAAAGAAGTCAAGACTGTCCTCAACTTATAATCATTAGAAGTTGGCTAATATTTACTTCTAAAGATTTATGAATAGCGGGTCCTGTACAGACAGGATCAGTTTAGGCAAAAATTAATTTAAATGAAAATTCGTTAAGGTCCTAGTGTATTAACGAGTCACATTAGAGGGCTGGAGAAATGACTCAGCAGTTAAAAGCACTGGCTACTCTTGTAGAGGACCTGGGTTCGATTCCCAGCACCTACATGCCAGCTAACAACTGTCTAGTTCCAGGGGATCCGGCTCCCACCTCTTACTTCTGGAGGGCATTGCATGACAGGATTGTACCTACCTACATGCAAGCAATACACTCATACACATAAAAATAAAAATAATAAAATACTTAAAAAATGGTCACATTAGTGAGAGCAACTACTCCGCGTAGGCTTTACTTTCTTTATGGTTGCTAGTAAAGAGGGATGAGATATGGGAAAATTCAGGTCTTGTTGGTGAGATAAATGGCTAAATCTGACAAGACCCCTCTCATGGTTGCTCATGAGGGAAAAATAAAGCCCTAAAAGAGCAAAACAAGAAAGAATTATTCCCTGACAAAGATTCTATGGTGAAATCAACTTAAGGGATCTCTATTTGCTTAAGACTACAGAAGGGGAACCACCCTTAAGCTTGCTACTCCCTAAAATTTGTAAGGCCAGCCACCTCTCTCCTTTAGCTCTCCTTTAGCTACAGTAAAATTTAAAAATCCCCACCAACTAATGGGAGTGACCCTTAAGCTTGTCTCACCCTAAAAATAGTAAGAGGTAAGCCATCTCACGGCTTAGCCCTAAGATAATAGAGAATTTATTACTTTAGATGTAATATAAATGTAAAAATCCTTACAAACACAGGGGAACCCACTTTAAAATTTTGGTTTAATCTTACATAATTCAGATTGGACTATAAAATAGTTTTGTTTGCTCAGGTATCTAATTGTTTTGAAAGATTTACAAGCTTTATCAAAAAACTTTATGTACAACTAGCCACAGATGAAATTTGACTAAATGTTTATTTAACTATTTTGGATATATTTTCATTAATCTTTTTATTAAGCCCCATAAGTAACAGTTGTTTGTTCCTAGAAAGAACATTAAAATTTTTTAGACAATTTTAGATATTATCAATTGACTTTAACCTTCCTTCGGAATTCCCAATTCGGCCCTTTCAGACTCATTTTTGCTTCTTATAAAGAACACACTAATTTAAATTTTCCCTGTCACATTATGGCACCTCTCTAGCTCTTCTTTTATTACAGCAATTATAGCTAGAAGCTGAATTTCAAACAAAAACAACTTTCTCATATATGATTACAATTACACATTTGTTTTTAAAACTTTTTCCCTTCCAACAATGTCTGGACAATTAACTCTCTTTTTGAAGAATTTTAGAGTAGTTATTTCTACCCAATACACCCTAATGAAAAATAGTTTCACCCCAGATTAACAAGGAATTAATCACTCTTATTCAACAGGACTGAACCAAATTTATCCAATTTACTAGACAAGACCTATATTTCTCAAGATAATTTGAACTTTCTTTTCAGACCATAGAAAAATGGCAGATAACTTGCTGGTTTTTTAAGACAAGTTTCTTTCACTTCCATGTGGAATTTCATTACTTCCTAAACAAATATTTTCATCCATAAATATATATCCCATTCTTAATACACTAACCATTTTTTTCAGGCAGAGACAATAAATCAAGCAAATGAACCATTATGTAGTGCTGGAATATGGCACTCTTTAAACACCAGTGAGGAGAACTTTTAGCTGCCATTTCTGCTTTCAAACAATTCCCTTATTAACTTCTCAGTTTCCTAACCTACTCAAACTATATGGGTCAAGCCATTCTACTATTTTGAGTAACCTTGGCTTATTCCTCAATCCTTTTTAGTTATCAATATGTACCTCTAGTTAAAGCCCCCTTTGTAGATGTACTCATCCTGTTTTCATTTCAAAGCACTTGATCCCATACTTGACCTCCCCAGAAGGAAATCATACTATCTAGTTATCTTCTCAATCACCATAAGTACAAACTCAACAAATCCTGCCTTGACTCAGTTAAATCCCCAATCTTCATCCTAATGAACTTTGGCAAGTGAAATTAACTTATATAAATTCCTTTAGTATTAAATTGGCTCATATAGATGTTAATACTTTTTAAAAATATCTTTATTATTTTTATTTTATGTATGTGCATATATTGCCTGCATGTAGGTAAGTGCACCCATGTCATGCAATGCCCGTGGAAGACAGAAGAGGCTGTCAGATCCCCTGGAACTGGAGTTACAGACAGTTGTTAGCTGCCATGTTGGTGCTGGGATTTGAACCTGGGTCTTCTGCAAGAACAGCTAGTGTTCTTAACTGCTGAGCCATCTCTCCAGCCCCCTATATGTTAATACTTTTTAAGCATTTATTAGCTGGTTTCTCTGTAATGGGGTCACATTAAAAGTTATACATACAGTTGTCATACTTATGTTTCTGAAACTTACCTCTTTTTTCCAATTTTGGGAAGTTCATGTCTCATGATATCCCATATATTACCCCAAGTACAAGCAAAAATTTCATACATAAACAAAAAAGGGAAAATTAAGGATTAATTGCTCAGGAACAAATCATACTTAATTGTTTTATGAACAACTTATAC